GGCGCAGAGCGGGAGCCCCCGGGGCCCGGGGACACTCACCGGCTCCAGGGCGGGGGGGGGCGGCAGACCGGGGGGGGCTCTCCGTCATCGGCCTCTGCACAAAATCGGCGAGGTTGGTTAGCGCGGGCGGTGCGGGAGGGGGCGTTACAGCCTGTGGGTGGGTTGGGTTGTTTATTAGGGGGCGGAATTTCATAGCCTGTTGTAGTGATGTAGTTAGCTGTGAACTCGGTGACCTCTAATTGGAAGCTTGTTACTTAAAATCTTAACTACTCTTTGCAAGAGGCCTAATTACATTTTAACAAGGGCGATGAATGTGCGCGCGGTTAAATCCATTACTGTACTGTGTTTTTCAGTCACAGTATTGCTCGCTGCTGTCCTTTGTGGCGATTGGTCATTTCCTTATATGTGCTAATACAAATGAAGTTAAAGCTACTTTTTCAGTTGTTGATACATCATTGATGAAACAGGACGGCTTTTTAAGCCTTTCTGACTTCAGCTATCTATGCCTTTAAGTTACAAACACCCGGTTCATAACCTTACTTATAGAATAGTGGAAAGAAGCTGGATCATTGCAGTAAGTAACTTATCAAATATTTGAGTGAAAAATGTATGTTAGTATATTCTCAGCACTGCTTAAATTACCTCAGTATAAACTGCCATGATTGTAGAGGTTAGCTATAAACGTCATCTACGTGAATGGAAGTTTAAGAATTACATTTTCATTTCAGGTCTCTGATTCTTGTAAGTGTTTGAAATCCACAGTTTGTCTGATATATTTTATTAGAGAAGTGGTCTTCTTTAGATAACACAATGTTTAAAAAAAAAAAAAAGAGGAGGGAGGTCTTCCTTTTATTTTTAATGCATTATTAGTCTTCTTGAGGGGAAAAATACATCAGCATTAATAATCAGCCTTTACAAAAAAACTGCATATCACAAGTCAGACTGCAGCGTTTAAATAGTTCTCAAGTTGAAATCACTTTGGCAAGCTGAACTCTTACAGATACCGATGAGAAATCTAAGCTAAAGTTGGGGCAATTGGTACCTTTCTGAATTAATTTTAGGATGCTGTTTGGTTTTGTTTGTTAGTAGTCATAACTGAAAATTTACATTCAGCCTATTTCCAGTGAAAGCTGGGATTTTTGTGGGTTTTCACTAAGGAAGTGAAGCAGCTAATAAAGTGTTTTGATAGGTTGTGTCCTGCAGTGCAGAAGGCTCTGTTTTCTAGAGAACAATAGAGAGCTGATGGTCACAGTCTCTTCTGTCAGCAGCTGTTCTTTGAAAATATTTTGGGTTTCGCCAAAATATTTCCATTAGTTTCAGGAGCATGTATAAACAACACAGGCGGCGTGAGCAGGCCTGGTAACTCGTTCCCACACTGGCATTTATCTCCTTCTGTTGTTCTGGTAAAATTTTTGCTCAGTTGCACGATGAACAGATCAGGGAAGTGATCCAGGTTAAAAATAAGATTTTAAAAATGTTTTTTAATTTGGATCAGCTCCCTG